TCTGGCCAAGGTCACAGAGCAAGAAAGTGGCAGCGTGACCATCACACTGTGGCTCCCCCGCCCCCTCCCGCCCCGGCAGTCTGGTCTTTCCACCGAGTGTACTGCCTCTCAACTCCCAGACCCTCCGTTCAAGGCCAACAGGTGCTCGTGGTGAAATACACACAACATGCGATTCAGTCTCAGCTGCTGCAGAGGTGCAGCTCAGCACACGCTTGGCACACGCTTGGAACATGCTTAGCATACGCTCAGCACATGCTCAGCACATGCAATGTGTGGCTGGCCCCCTGGCCCCAGAGCCTGTCATCACAGACAGGAAACCCGCCCCACTCAGCAGTCACTCGCTCCCCTGCCCCCGCCCGCCTCCCCCTGCGTCGTCTGCACGTGTCACCTCGGTGTCACTGCGAGAGCTCCTACTGCGCGCCTGTGTCTGGTCCTACTGCGCGCCTGTGTCTGGTCCTACTGCGCGCCTGTGTCTGGTCCTACTGCGCGCCTGTGTCTGGTCCTACTGCGCGCCTGTGTCTGGTCCTACTGCGCGCCTGTGTCTGGTCCTACTGCGCGCCTGTGTCTGGTCCTACTGCGCGCCTGTGTCTGGTCCTACTGCGCGCCTGTGTCTGGTCCTACTGCGCGCCTGTGTCTGGTCCTACTGCGCGCCTGTATTGACCTCTTTTTGTTGATTTTTCGGAGAATCCTCGTTAGGAAAATAAACAACAGTCTAGGAAAGTTGCGCGTGTCCCGGGCGGAACGCCTGTTGCGGCCGAGCCTGCTGCTGGCGCTGCTTCCTCCCAGCCTTGCTCCAGGGCCAGCCTGTCCCAGCCCTTCCAGCCTGGGCGGAGCAGAGCTGTGCACTCAGCATTCCTTTCAGCACGAAGCCCAGTAAACAAGGCGAGGCCAGCCCGATGGCCAGGGGGGTTGGGGGTGGGGTGAGAGCGTGGCCCCGGGGACCCCCCCAAATGAAACTGACAGCCGGGCCCTGTCATCACCTCAGGGCTCCAGGCTGCAGCTTCTTTGGGTACAAAAAGGGAAGGAAAGTATAACTTCTTAGAGCTGCTAGGATCCTCCCCCACCCCCAGCTGACCACGTGTGGAGCTGGCGTCTTGCTGCCCCGTGAAGACCCCGCTGGCCGGGGGCTGCCTGGCGGGAGCACGGGCTGGGGCGGGTCCACCTAGA